TCATTTAAAAGAGTCCATCATCAGATATTGTCCAAGATTAAACTTCAGGGTGGATATAGCTCGCTAGCAGCCTCGCACCGAGGACCTATCCACGTCATCATTTACCCAGAATGCTTTGTGTGGAAATAAAATGGTCCCGTCCATGTAATACATTTTTAAACTCTTAGTTTAAATAAATAAATATAAATAAGAGACCAGGCTAAGAGCATCTGTGATAATTGGCTAATTTCATGGGTAATTTCTCAATATTAGAATTAGATTGTAAATCAAACAAGAGGCCACCACTTTTGGAGAATATATAGTTGGGGATAAAATTCCATAAAGAATTAGAGTCTATTAAAAATTTTCTAATCCAATTAATTTTAAAAGTATAATCTGATGTGATAAAATCTAAGAAATCTAGACCTCTAGAGTCTAATGCATTGATAAGAACACTATCTTTAACTAGACATGGGTTTTACGATGTAAAAACAAGTGTGCATTGCCATGTTGCATGTCATTGTAGCATGGCTTTGCCTGCAGCATTGGACTTGCAGAATGAAATGTGACCAAGTTCAAATGTGTTTCTATACCAGCTTGTGTCTGTTACGTCAGCAGATGTTTGTAATTAAGGCAATTGTGTGACAATATGAAGTTTGAAGAGACTTTTTGTTAAAGTTGCTTTAGCTGGGTTTTGAACCCTGATCTCCCACATGGAAGTCCATGACATAGACCATTAGAATGTTGGAGTTGTGGCAGGGTGTGGTGCCAGGGGTTGGTTTGTATGTGTGCAGAAAGAGGCCACATTGCCAATACAATTATTGACACTAAACTGCATAATATTACAACAATAGAGCAGTATTAAGACAATATTATAGTAAAACATCAAAATACAATCATATTAGTATTGTAAACACTGAGCTATTGAGATTAAATATTAAAAAACTTGTTGCAGTACCAAGTTGATTACAGCTGGGGGCAGTATTGGACCATTACAAGGCCCCATTGACTGCCATTTTATGAATTTGGAATAAAGTTTCAACATTAATATTTCAAAAAGTACAAGTTGTACAGTTACCAAAAGACATAGCAATCATTTGGCACAGGACCTTTACAGATACATAGAAATTACAATGGCAGCTGTAGGACAATGTAGGCAGGAGCATTGGACTTTCAGAATGAACTTTGACCAAGTTCAAATGTGTTTTCTACACCAGCTTGTGCCTGTCACATCAGCAGGTGTTTGTAATTAAGGTAATTGTGTGACAAAATGAAGTTTGAAGAGATTTTTGTTAAAGTTGCAGTAGCTGGATTTGAACCTTCATCTCCCTCATGAAAGCCCACAGTGCTCATCATGAGACTATAGGAGATGTGGCAGAGGTTAATCCCAGGGATTGGATTGTATGTATACAGAAAAAGTTTACCTTGCCAATGCAATTACTGACACTTAAGTGCAATATATTACAGCAATATGACAACATAAAGACAGTATAACAGTAAAACATCAAAATACAATCATATTAACATTGTAATCACTGAACTACTGAGTTTAAATATTATAAAACTATGGCGCAGTACCATATTGTGTAGATGCAGCAGGGGGCAGTATTGGACCAATACAAGGCTCCATTGACTGCCATTATAATTTATTAAACATTAATATTTCAAAAACTATAAGTTTTACATGCACCAAAAGGCATAGCCATCATTTGGCACAGGAGCTTTACAGATATAAATTACAACGGCAGCTCTAGGACAAAGTATGCAGGAGGAGAAGCATGGCAAAGTTGAGATGACTTGGATGGGAAATGAATCACAAACTGATAAAATGAGTTGAGTTTTTCCAGGTAAAACTATAAAGCATTTTATCAATCATTTTACAAGTTAAAGATTTAACACTTAGTGAGAGTGCAGCGTAGGTTAACCTAGAAATCCCTTCTGCTTTAGATAAGAGGACTCTGCCTCTTAAAGATCCCTTTGAAGCCAGCGGTTTAATTTTTTCTTGGTTTCAGCAATGACAGGGTCAAAATTCAGACTGCATCTTTCTGTGATGTTTTGGAGATAACAACACCAAGGTATGTTACTTGAGATTTGACAGGAATGTTGTATAAGGATTTCAAGTTTTAATTGGGAGGAGCTCACATTTATTAATATTTAGTTTTAGGCCTGAAGCTTCAGAGAATTTCTGGATGAGTTCAATGGCAATAGGGATTTTTTCAGAGTCACGTAAAAACAGAGTGGTATCATCAGTAACTTCACTTACTAAAACCTCTCTATTGGCAATTACAGTATGATACCAGACACCTTATTTTCATGGATATAACTGGCCAGAAGCTGGGCTGCAATTAGGAAAAGATAAGGAGAAACAGGACAGCCCTGACGGACTCCTCTAGATAGCTGGAATCTAGGAGTTGTCCCAGATTTGAGCTTGATTGAACAATTTGCATTGTTAAACAACGTTTGAATAGATTTCACAAAAAATTGGCCAAACCCTACTTTTTCTTAGGCGTGGAAGATAAATTCATGCTCTGAAGAGTCAAATGACTTGTAGAAGTCTAAAAACATGATAAAACTGTCTTCAGTTATCAGGTCAGAAAAATCCAACATGTCTAGAACGGGTCTTATGTTATTTGTGTCTTTTTGATATAAATCCAGATTGTCATTTGTCAATAATGGTAGACAGGGTTTTTAAATTCTCTTTGCTAAAATAATGGCCAACACTTTGTAGTCATTGTTGAGCAAGCAAATAGGTCTCCAGTTCTCAAATAAAACTTGATCCTTATTGGGTTTGGGAATAAGGGTAATAATGCCTTGTGTGAGAGTTGTTGGTAATTTGCCCAGTTCAGTGCTTTCAGACTGTTTTAAATATAAAAGGAATTAATTCATTTTCAAACGCCATGTAAAACTCACTTGACAAACCATCACTACCAGAAGATTTGTTGTTTTTAAGACACCTTATAGCTTCTTGTACCGCCCTAAGGGTTAGTTTAGAGTCACAGAATTGTTTATCATCATCAAAAATGCATTTACACTTAGAAATAGAATTTAAAAATTGAGTTGATTTTAGTTCGGAGAAATTAGAAGAATAGAGTTCATTGTAAAAATCAGAACAAAAGGAAGCTACTGTTTTGAAATCAGATACAATTTCATTGTTAATTTTAAGAGTCCTTTGCAGCTCACCCAAGCTCTCTAGAATTTATTTTGTACTTAAACAAGAACATTTATTTTATTTTTCTTTTAAGATGGCAACAGTCATATTTTTAGAATAATTATGTTTATCTGGCTAGTAGGAAGGAACAATATAGTTGTTTGTATCATTCTGAATCCAATTTTAAATCCATACAAATTACAATAATGTTCAACAAGGTTCTCAGAAAAATAAGAAAAAGTAGATCTGTACTGAATGTACAATGACACTTTCTGTCTATAATTTGCCATGCAGTGTAAACAAAAAACTAATTGGTAATGCAATACTCTACTGTAGCAAGCAGATTCTACAAAATCCACTTCCGGTGTACTTAGTTTCCCCCGTGTGGTCTAAATAAAAATATCTTTTGTGGACCTTATTAATGGGAATGGACCCACGTCACTCTTATGTGTTTTTATCATTTGAAAAAGTTTTATATTTCTGTGAAACGGGGAATAAGCTTACAGTGCAAGTCACATGATCGTGTGACTGGAAACAGAAAGTGCCGAAAGAAGTTGGCACCAATACGTATGTAGATGTTTTGTCAGAAATTCTTTCAGTTTCTGCTACTCGTCACAATGGTAATTATTATTTTAATTTCATTTACAATAGTATATTTGATTGTAACTTTAGTGCCACTCAAAATCACTCCCAATTTATTTTACTGCTTATGCTGCTTTGTACCTTCGATACTATTATGAAATTTCCGCTTTTTAGCTGTTGGTGTGTAACATTTGAAATGAATGTGGTAAAGTTAGCTAATTTCATCTATTGAAAGTAGAAAAATAGTATGTTAAGAACAGTTTCACTATATGTATCACAGATAGTACAAGTAAGTAATATCAAGTGAGTACTAAATGGGTTTAATGATAGTTCTGAATTTTGTTTTTCATGCTTTAATGCCTGCATGCTTTCATGTCGTCTTTTGTGACAATCCTTAACCACAGGGACAGGTGAGGTAAAGATTTTTATTTTATTTTATTTATTTATTGAGATTACAGTGATCAAAAGTCAGGCTGTAGATATACAATATTCATTACAAAAGTAAAAATATTTTAGTGTAAACTGTTTTATACATTCTGAGTAATTATCATAAAGTATTGACCCTATTTTTGAGGTCTATGAACAGTATAATTTGATCAAGTC